ATTATGTTGTCCAGACAGTCCTTAAATTTTATACCACATTTTAAAAATTAAAAAAAAAAAATAATTTACTTAAACTAATTTAACTTTTTTTAAAAAAAGTGCAAAAAATAGCTTCACAAAAGTATTCGAATTTTTTGTATAAATCATATTTAGTTTAGCATTATGAAGTAAAAATAAATAATTAAAATGAAATTAATGTTTTGTATAGTAGCCTTTGTGTTTAAAAACAACTTCCAAGCGTCGTGGGACCGTTTCTACCAATTTATGGAATAGTTCTGGCGTTATTATGTCCCATTCTTCATGCAAAGCAACCGTATGGTGGTTTTAGAGGATAATGAGTGATTTAAAAGTTGTTCTTGTAAATATAACCACAAATTTTCAATGGAGTTTAACTCCAGACATTAACGCCATTGAAAATTTGGTGAAAGAAGATACTTAGTGTTGTAAATGATCAACATTTTCACGTACCAGGTCGTGTATTTTGGATCGTTTTTCTGTTGAAAAATAAATTGAATGGGTTGTAGCCCCATTTTGGTGGTACTAGCATGCAAAATTCTGCTCTAAAATTGACAAGTGGACCTTCTAGTCTATAATTACAATAATAAATTTTAGCAGTCCAACACCGTGGACGGACACAGAACCCCAAAATATGGCAAAGCATCTTGGGTCCTTTACAGTTGGTTTTAAGTTAGATAATTCCAAGGCATCTCCAAGCTTTCGCCATATCATTTGACGACCATCTGAGACAAAAATATTATATTTGTTCTAATCGTCGAAGATAACCTCCTTCCAGAATCCAATATTCTTACTTATGAGTCTATTTGCGGAGTCAAGACACTTAACATCGATTAACTTCGATATGAGCGGTTTCCACCTTGGTGCTTGACCATGCAAATTATTGCTCCCTAGTACTTTGCGCACAATTTCGACACTAATTTTTATTCACAGAACTGTCCTGAGTTCGTTGTTAATTTTTGGAGCTGATAGATGAAGGTTCCTTCGGTATTTCCTCAGTATTTCTCTGTCGTCCTGTATTGACAGCAGTTTTGGACGACTTGATAATGGTAAATACTCGATGGAATTCTTTGTTCCATGCGTGTAATGACAAAATATATTGTCGATGGGAACCTATTAAACATTTCCTATATGTATTTAATTGATCGGCCTTGATTATACAGATATAAATTATTTTTTAATTTGAATTGATCAACTCTTTTTCTTTGAACATTTTAAGGGCTTACACAGGAAGGATTTACAACATAATTATGCAAATTTCCAAAAAATATAATGTTAAATATTCCATATAACCACTACCTGCATAATGGGTTAATTAATGGGCAATAAAACACGTGTTCAAGGATTCTAAAAAAGTTCTTAGAAAAAATTCGAATATTTTTGCGCAGTACCTGAAATGACCCTTTTTGGGTTTTTTCCATTTTCTTGGAAACCATTAATGAGTTTTTATTACTTTTTAATTGTATTTCGTAAAAATAATATAAATTAATAAAATTTCATTAAAAAATTTTAAATACTATTATTATTTTTAAAGTAGCATCATAAAATAACACAGTAATTCATAAAAAATAAGAAATTCGAATATTTATGTGAGACACTGTATCTATTGACTCAAAATCTATTTTTTTGTTTTTTAACAAATATTTTTTAAAAATCTACATATGGCTCTATATTATTGCCTATATTGTGGTTAAAATTGGTCCATGGTTTCATTTAGGCATCACCTAAGATATAATCGAACTATGTATATTCGATTCACGCTAACTTAGGTTTTCATGAAAATGATATTGATGCATGTTCCGCAACTATACTACATCTGACATTGAACTAATCGGTCCATAACAGACCAAAGCTTCTATATATGGATCACTTCGAAAAATTAATTAATGCACAAATATTAGTAACACAGTGAAACTTGATATCGACAGCAAATGTTATATAAGTGTCTATAATTGGATCAAGAGTCTTTAATATATCCAAAACCAATGTTTTGTTGCATTCACTTATGTTAACACTGGATCACAATGGACAGCGTTTCTGGAAATCATTTAAATTTTCAAAAATTTCTTGTTGAATATCAGTTTTGATATGGAATTTCATATAAATAAAATTCATATTCACAATATAAATTAATAAAATAATGAGAATATAATTCTTAAAACCAGTGGTGTAGGCTTCCGTAGATTGTACAATAATTTCTTACTTGTGTATTTGTTAATCATGACGTATTTTTGTGCAATTTGTATAAAACATTTTCATTATAATCCCTACTTGAAAAATTGTTTTACATTTGTGTGAGCAAAGTCTAAATATGAATATTCTAGGTCATATTTGTTTTGTTTTGTTCATTATTGCTATTCTCCAAAGCACCTAATCTAATCTGTTAATTGCTAATTGTTCCCAAAAGTCTTAATGATTGCGGCAAAGAACTGTTTAAACATTTATATTTATTAACATAATTAAATTTATAATTATATTACAAATGTTTTCAATTCGTAAACCTTTTCGCAATCATTTTTATGGACAAATTTAAGCTTAATATATATATCGCAGAATTTGGGATCTGCATGACCTTAGCATACAAAATGGATGCAATATTCTTCTAACTGAAATATCAGGCGCTTTTATAAGATTCATTGGCCGTGATGCTCTTTTATCTAAGAAATATTTTGTAATATTTACACAGTTTAAGTCGTAGCGATTTCTTTTTAAAATCTTATTATCGACTATTATTTTAAACTCTATAAAATTTTCTTATTTACAGGCTGAACCAATTCGTGTTGTTGTTACCGGCGCTGCTGGCCAAATTGCCTACTCTCTTCTTTACATGATTGCTCGTGGTGAAGTCTTCGGTAAGGATCAACCTTTGATCTTGCACTTGTTGGACATCCCACCAATGGTTGGTGTTTTGGAGGGTGTTGTTATGGAATTGGCCGATTGTGCTTTGCCTTTGCTCCGCGAAGTCGTACCCACCACCGATCCCGCTGTTGCCTTCAAGGATGTTTCTGCTGCTTTCTTGGTTGGTGCTATGCCCCGCAAGGAAGGTATGGAACGTAAGGATTTGTTGTCCGCCAACGTAAAGATCTTCAAGGCTCAAGGTCAAGCTTTGGACCAATATGCCCGCAAGGACGTTAAAGTTTTAGTTGTTGGCAATCCCGCCAATACCAATGCCGTTGTATGCTCCTTCTATGCTCCCTCAATTCCTCGCGAAAACTTCAGCGCTATGACTCGTTTGGATCAAAACCGTGCCACCGCTCAAGTTGCTGCCAAAGCTAAGGTTCCTGTTAGCCAAGTTAAGAACGTTATTATCTGGGGCAACCACTCCTCCACTCAATTCCCTGATGCCAGCCATGCCGTCGTCACAGTTGGTGGTGCTGAAAAGTCCGCTGTAGAAGCTGTTGGTGATGCTGAATTCTTGAAGGGATCCTTTGTTGAAACCGTCCAGAAGCGTGGTGCTGCTGTAATTGCTGCCCGTAAAATGTCTTCTGCTATGTCAGCCGCCAAGGCTGCCTGTGATCACATGCACGATTGGTGGAACGGTACCGCTGCTGGTCAATTCGTTTCAATGGGTGTTATTTCCGATGGCAGCTACGATGCTCCCAAGGATGTTATCTACTCCTTCCCCGTTGAAATTAAAAACAAACAATGGAAGATCGTACAAGGTTTGTCCCTTGACGACTTCGCTAAGTCGAAAATGGCCATCACCGGCAAGGAATTGTTGGAAGAGAAAAATGAAGCTATGGCTGTCTGCAATGCTGAATGACTAGCTGGCCCCAACAAAGACTCCAAATTGTAAATGATTTGCGGCCGACTAAGCTCAAAATCACTCTTACACCACAATTTTAGAGTTAAGACCGTGTAAATTTCCTAATTCGACCCCAAGAACAACTGTCCTCTCCTATGATCAATCCCTCATAAATGTTTTTTCTCGTTTCGGAGACGATACCTAGTCGCCTGCTACAAAATTTGTTTACTTAAATTTAGTGATATTCGTTTTAAGAACAACGCATTTAGAATATGAAATTAATTCCCAACTTGTAATTTCACACGATTGTTTAACTTTTTTGTACATCACAAATAAAATTTGTGTATTATAAAGTTAAAATAAATAACATTTAAATTAAAAAAGGTTAAACTTGTTTTTATATGGGTATGTGTTTAAACTGAGTTGTTTTTGTGGGTTCAATGTTTTATTAAAATATAAATAATAAAAAATGAAAGTTGTCTTCGTGAAATAACGTTTTCTTTTATAAGTTTTCAATATTAAAAAATGCAAGTAAAATTGTTTTAAACGTATATAAGATACATTGATGGATATATCCTGTTCCTACCCAAGTGTGACAAAATTTTGAAAAATAACTCAAACTAATTTTCCCAGAACTCAACAATGTGATTGCTATTATGTTCATGTAATAACCAAAACGCTTAAAAGGAAATCCATAGTTTTTAATAGAAAACGGCATTTCTTAATCATCTTCCGACATTGTCCAACATCATCTTCCGACATTTTCCAACACTAGATCCTTATCCGGGCATTGAAACATTTAGGCTAGTAATATTTTTAGCTGTTCTATATTAAATGCCGAATACTTTTCTAATACACTGTAGTATATAATTTTGTTATTTATAGCATATCATTAGGGATCAAGTGTTTTTAACACTTGACTTAACACAGACATAAAAAGATAAATTTTTAAAATCGTGTATAGATTTCGCTAAACCTTAACATTCTACAAGATCAGTAAATAATACCAACATATAAAAAAATTCACAATAAAATGAGTTTATTTAAAATTACAAATAATGAAGTTTATGTTCATTTATATAATTTTAATAAGAGAGGTATGAAAATCGATTGGATCGACAATTTAATCAATAAAAGATGAATTAAAACCTCATTTTTCAACACACGCTTGAGGGGTTGTATAAATAATATTTCCATTTAAAAGGGTTTCAACATCTGATTTTAAGCACAATCATACATAGTTAGGTCGATGGTTTTTCAAACAATTAATATTTATTTATTTAGGATATAGAATATCATAGTGACCGGGCCGATAGATTAAGAACACCTTAGGGGTGGTACCTTCGGGAAAATCATGAGCCTTTACAGTGCCGCCTTCTCCCCGATCCATATATTCAACACGTACCCCTACACCCAATGCTGAGCACAGAGCAATGATGTGAATATGATCGGATTCTTTGTACATGGGCTCTACCTCTTGGTGACGAAATTCCTCAATAGTAAAATTTCCCTCGATAAAGTTTTGATAGAAATCCGCCTCTTCTTGTAGTTTACCCGATGTAAGTAATCTTAAGTAAACTACAACATAATCAGAATAACCCTGATCATTGAAAACTTTGTGCAATTGTTCATTTATATCCACGGCAGCAGAACCTGAAGGATCGACACGTTTAACCACCTCCATAAACTGTAAAAGATATTTCGAAAAAATTTAAAATTTTAGCAAAATAAATTTGTAATTAATTCTCTTACCGTTTCATGAAAATCTTCCAAAGTAAAACTAGGAAATCCTAACTGCACTAATTTCTCTTTGGAGTTCTCAGCCAACTGACGAAATTTTTCATAATCTTCTTTGTTTGAGATCAAATGTTCTAAGTAAGCATAGGCAAATGCCCTGAAAAAGCAATTGCCATCTGGTCTCGTACGACGCATAAACTTATATTTACTGGCCAAATCTTGTATCTTAGAGGTGAATACCGCATCGCCCAAATACTCTACATTTAAACATGTTACCGGCAGTTGTTCACTAACCAATGGTATGGATTCACTTATCTATGGAAAGACACATATCCACAAAGAAATGCAAATGACAAACAAAATAAAAAACAAGACATGTATTAGCGGCTTCGAGATGAGTTTGCGAATTAGACAGAAAACATGCTTACACACCTCTTTTTCTATTTCCCTCTGCTGCTGCATAATCAATTCGTCCCTATTGACATTATCGTTTTGTTCTACTTTTTCCATATTTGTTTGATTTTAATTTAAATCGTTCTGTTAAACAATGTAATTGCAATTTTTTCACAAATTAACCAGAGCCCTGCGCCGACAAATATTAACAGCGGCGGCGACTGACACCAAATATGTCGGCGGCGGCTTAAAATCGACTGTAAGCCGGCTAAGTTTTCAACTACGTTTAGTTTTTATATTTTCAACGATTTTAAATAAAAACGGAATCCGAGAGATCAGAAAGTGGGATTTTGGAAGCAAATATATTGTTTATAACAACAAAACAGAGCAAGCTCAAAAGTTGTGTGAGAAATTATGCAGGGATGAATAAAAAATTCTTAAAAATTAAAAACAAATCCTTTCTCCAAGTTTTACGAGGATCTGCCGATATTTAACCCTATCCTCCATATAAAACATCTTGCAGAAAATCAGTTTCTAAAAAATTTTGCATTAAGAAAATTATCAATAACGTAAAAACAAAGATATTTTATTTGTTTATTTACTAGCTATATATATACCCAGTGTGCTGTGCTACCCTAAAAGCAATATAAATAGCTTAACGATTTTGATGATTCTAACTACAATGGTTTTCCAGATATACAATTTGTTACATATGGGAGATTCCACGCAAATTATTGCAATTTCTCTAAATGTTCTTCAGTAAAATTTGAAGACTCTAGCTCTAATAGTTTCTCAGATATACGAATTTTTCTATTTAATTCATATGGGAGTTCCAAGCCCCCCCAGATGAAAGTCCGCCCTTTCTTCTCCAAAATGTTCAGATGAATATTAAAGTTCTGCGTGCAAAATTAGTTCTATTAGTTTCCCAGATAAACGAATTGTTGTATTTAATTCATATGGGAGGTTCCGCTCCCCTCATTGGTAGTGCCCCAATTTATTACCCAAAATGTTTACATGGATGTTAAAGTTCTTCCAGAACAACATCATTTAAAGGGATCGCAAAGAGATTGAAAAATATTCCAAAAGTTTCACTTTGAAAACATTATTAGAGTGTATGAAAACTCGCAACTCTAAAGGCAGACTATTCCTATTTTAGCTGTAATTTCTTTATGATTAAAATAAGTAAGGAGTAAGAGTTAAGGCCCAAATAGACTACACAAGTGGCTTGACAAACATACCAATATTTTACGTTTGTGCAAGCCTGTTGTGTAGTGTATGAGGGTGTTTCCTGTTGGTACAAATGCTTGCTGTTTGTTTGTACAAAAATTTAAAAATTTTGATTTTTACACAAACATATTGAATTTTTGTCAAACCATTTGTATGGTTTGTATTCAATAATAACAATTTTTTAAAAAAATTTGCATTTCTAAGAAAAATTGACATCTGTATCTTTGAAAGTCCACAAAAACGTGAAAAAATCGGTGTTTGTACGAGCAATGTTTGTGTAATGTGTGTGCGAATGGAAAAAGTATGTTTGATAAGCCGCTTGTGTAGTCTATTTGGGCCTTTATATTCGGCAAATCATTTGTCGTAAAAAAGCAAATTTCGGAAGTGGTCATATACATATGTATATATATGGACTTTGATCATTAGATTAATAAGAATGTCACCGTGATTTTCGGATTAGGGACTTAAATGTGGAATTGGATCAATTATGGACAAAGTTCTCTATAATTTAAAGTACTTTTTTAATTCTACCATAATTCTATCATAATGATAACTTTTGGAATGATGTATTAGCTATAAACTAATTTTCTGTAAGAGGGTTATATTGACGGACCGATCCCCATAATTTTATTTTTCGGTTCCTAAAAATGTTTTTTTCGTCGACATCGACATTTGAAAGCCATTTATGTGCGTTTAAGTAATTTTCTGAAGAAGATTTCATATACATATTTACATTACATATTTTCGTTCCAACAAAAATTGTTTTATTATGGTATTATTAAGTACATAGAAAACGTTAAAATCAATTTTTGAAGGGGGCAGGGTCAATTATGGCCTATAGAGATTTCGATTGATATCGAGCCCTTTTTGCAAAATGGACGTAAGTGAGATAAATTTTCGTTCAATTAGGATACTGCGTCTTTAATTTTAGAAAATTCAAAAAGTACCAGTTAAAGAACGAAAGATTACCAGAAATACTCCAGTTTAAATTTTCATTCACTCAGTCCCTGATTGCTTAGTTTTATGTTTTTAGGTTCATTATAAAAGAAAATCCAAATAGTACCAGTTGAAGAACGAAAAAGTACCAAAAGGTCCTGTTTTATAAGTTCTCACTTATTCCATGCCCTACAGGATTAATTTTATGTCTATAGGTTCAATATTATAGAAAATTCAAGAAATACCTTTTGAAGAACGAAAAAGTACCAAAAAGTATATATATGTTATCACTTAATCCGGGCTGTACATTCCTAATTTCATGTTTCTAGGTTCAATATTATAAAAAATTCAAAAAGTACCAGTCGAAGAACGAAAAAGTACTATTTATTATAATTTACTCCAGGCTCTACATATTTATTTTTATGTTTCTAGGTTTAATTTTATGGAAAACTCAAAGAGCACCAGTCGAAATTTTGTAGCAAGCTCAAGAAGTACCAGTCAAAGAACGAAAAAGTACCAAAAAGTGCCATTTTATAGATTCTCATTTACTCCGGGCTCTACGTGCATAATTTCATGTCTCTATGTTCAATATAATAGAAAACTCAAAAAGTACCTTTTAAAGAACGAAAAAGTACCAAAAAGTCCCCTTTTATAGGAACTCACTTAATCCGGGCTCTACATGCTTAATTTCACGTTTCTAGGTTCATTATTATACAAAAACTTAAAATGTACCTTTTGAAGAACCAAAAAGTCCCCTTTTACAGGTTCTCACTTAATTGGGGCTATACATGCTTTCATGTTTCTAGTTTTAATATTATAGAAAATTCAAAAAGTTCCTTTTGAAGAACGAAAAAGTACCAAAAAGTCCACTTTTATAGATTCTCAAGTGCTTAATTACATGTTTCTATGATCTAAGTCAAAAAAGTACCAGTCGAAGTACGATAAAGTACCAATAAGTCCCATTTTATAGATTCTCATTTACTCCGGACTCTACTTGCTTAATTTCATGTTTCTAGGATAAGTTTTATAGAAAACTCAAAAAGTACCTTTGTAGAACGAAAAAGTTCCGAAAAGTCCCTTAATTATTAATTTCATGTTTCGATTTCAATATCATAGAAAACTCAAAAAGTACCAGTTGGAGAATGAAAAAGTACCAAAAAATATCACTTGGTACCGGTGTTCAAAATAACACCCCATTAGCATATTTAGTGTTTCTTGAATAAAATCAAATTTCCCGTTTTTACCCCTTTTGGTACTTTTTTCCTCCCCATTAACGAAATAAAAATTCTGTTCCAAAAAGTTGCAACATCGTATTGGCAGCCCGTTATTATGTATTCATATGTATTTTTGAATTTTTTATAATATTGAACCTAGAAACATGAAATTAAGCATGTACAGCCCAGTGATAACCTTTGGTACTTTTTCGTTCTTCAAAAGGTACTTTTTAAATTTTCTATAATATTGAACCTAGAAACAGAAAATTAAGCGTGTAAGTGATAAAACATAAAAGGAGAATTTTTGGTACTTTTTCGTTCTTCGAAAGGTACTATTTGAATTTTCTATAATATTGAACCTATAGACATGAAATTGAGCATGTAGGGCCCGGAGTAAGGGAGAACATATAAAACGGGACTTTTTGTTACTTTTTCGTTCTTCGACTGGTACTATTTGAATTTTTTCTATTATAATGAACCTAAAAACATAAAACTAAGTAATCAGGGACTTGAGTGAATGAAAATTTAAACGGGATTACGATGAGGGTAACGAAGCACACTGGGTATAGCTAGTACACTCTAATAATATTTTCAAAGTGAAACTTTCGGAATATTTTTCAATCTCTTTGTGATCCCTTTAATTGATGTTGATCTCGTCTCATTATCCCTAAGAGAAAAAACTAAATTTCTCTTTCAATAAATAAAAAATTTCAAACATTTTTTGTTTTCAATGTACAGGCAAATCCCGGTATAACGAATCTCACTTTAACGAAAATCCGATATAACAAACAGCCAAATTTTTAACATTAACCACCTTATATAGCGAACGTTTAAGAAATTTTATACTCGATATAACGAATAAAAAGAAAAAATACCTAAAAAATCCAGCTTTTGATTTTATATTTATATTGTTAATATCAAAAACTTGATTGAGCAATTAGAATATAATGTAAAAATGAAAGAAGTCGCCCATATTCCTAATTTTAGTTATACTACATATCTGACCTATCGATCAAAATTCCTTACATTATAATCTAAAAAGCATAAATCTGTTAGATGTGAATTTAATGGTAAATTTAGCTTGAATAGTGTTTAAAAGGGATACATTGAAATAATAAAATTTTACAGCAAAATAAATTATTTCGATACCCCAATATGGCGCAATATTCCAGGGTTTTGAAATTATCAGCATGAGACTCAGTTATCGATTCTCAAGTTCAGTTTTTCCTCAAAAGAGTTTAATTCTATCTTTTAGATAATAAAATAAGGTTAAGGAAATAGCAGGAAATTAAAGTTGTTAGAAAACTAAAATCCTTCACAAAATTTTCAATCCGTTCAGATGTTCAAAATGGAAAAACGTGTGCGTTGTTATTAGTTGTTTGAAATAAAATTTGAAGTAATAATTTCATACATTAATTTGAATGGTTTTTTGTCCATTAAATAAAGAAATTTACTAGAAAAAATAATTCCGATATAACGAATATTTCGATTTAACGAAAGGGCCTGACATTTTATCATTCGTTATACCGGGATTTGCCTGTACTTTTTAAACAAATAATTTATTTGACAATTTTTTTTCTATTTGCCAGGAAAAAAAATTCTGGCTAATTTCTCAATTCTTTTTTACAATTTCTGGTAAAAACCTGCAAACATGACAAGTAAAGAAACACAGTTTTTATATGAAAAAGAGTTTAACACACACACACAACTTTTGTGCTTGCTCTGTTTTGTTGTTATACACAATATATTTGCTTCCAAAATCCCACTTTCTGATCTCTCGGATTCCGTTTTTATTTAAAATCGTTGAAAATTTAAAAACTGAACGAAGTTGAAAACTAACCCGGTTTACTGTCGATTTTAAGCCGCCGCCGACATATTTAGTGTCAGTCGCCGCCGCTGTTAATATTTGTCGGCGCAGGGCTCTGTCACTGCGTGTTGTGTAAAAACAAAGACGATAATAAGTACTCAATAAGAAAAACCATAAAGAACTGAAATAATTAAATACCTTGTGAAAACTATATAAAAATTTATTAAAATACAAAAAGTTTAAAATAATAAATATGGATTGTGAAGATATGCAAATGATAATTTCTGAAGAACCAAATCTATCAGTAAGTTGTTAAAATTTATATAAATTAAATATGTAAACATTGTACATAGAATTAAATTTGTCTGAATATTAAGTTGTATTTATTTATGTAGAAGTATTTGAACAAAAAAAAAAAAAAATAGCCTTGAAAATTATAAAATGTGCTGACCACAATTATAATTTGTAAGACAATTTCATTTTACTTTGTTAATAACAAACAATTTATTAGAAATTTAAAAATATTTCGAGTACAGTTTGATGAAATCATTTTTCAATGTTATTTTTCCAAACTACGCAGTAATTTTTGAAGCATTTCTTAGGGGGTTGACTATGTTTTCATTGTTAAAGGAAAGCATCTTGTTGATTGAAGAATGTGTTCTTAAGGGTTGTTTACTAACAATAAACTTTCTAATGTTAAGATATTAAAGTTTGTTTTCATCATTGTTTACAAATGCAAAAAAGAAACGATGATACAGAAGAGTGTTTATTTACATTTTTTAAGCAGGGATGGAGAAGTTAATATTTCGACCATTTTCTACATAGGCAAATACATATCATAGAACTATTGCACAATGGAAAAATAAGTTCTGTAATTTCTAAATGGTTGTTTTGATTTAAACAATGGAGTCCACAAATTGGCCACTTTGTTTATATGAAAAATTTTAAACTAATTCTCTAAAACTCTTTTCTTGAGATACATTATATATGTAAATAACATTGTATCATATATAAGCATTTGACCCATCTTAGTCTATTTTTATAGGAATAACATTTCATAATTTGTTTTTGTTTTAGTTATTTGAATTCAAATAAGTTATTTACCTAAATTACTTTAAATTTTCTTATTTTAGGAACGTAAAGAGGGTGGAAAGAGAGGACGCAAACCAGGACGTAAAGCTTCAAATGAAAAAATAGATATGAAAGCTAAATTGGGTAAGTTTAATAAAAATATCTACATTAATAATGCACAAAATAATAATAAAAAACTTTTTTATATATTTAAAGAACGGAGTCGTCAAAGTGCTCGAGAATGTCGAGCTCGCAAAAAGTTACGTTATCAATATTTAGAAGAATTAGTTGCTGATCGTGAAAAAGCTGTCTTAGCTTTGCGTGCGGAACTGGAGCGTGTAAGTCAGTATGAAACAATTTTAAAAAACCTTTTACCACTTGTAAAATATAATTGGTCTGAATACACAAGATTATGTAATAGTTATACTATATTTTCATTAGTTCATTTGTGTAATTGACCAATTATACACCTAATAATTCTTCATTCATTTACAATCATGTCTACATGGCTAATTTATATTTTTATTTTTAGTACAAACAATGGAATTCTGAATTAAATGAAGGCCGTGTACCAAATGGTTTTCAACAGTTGTTAGAGGAAGCTGGAATTCTTAAGCAGGAAATAGTTGTTTGATTATTCTATTACTAAATGTTATTATATTTTCTATTTGATCTACCTTCAATAGTTTTTTGCATAAATTTTAATTATACAATATCATAAGTACAAATAAAAAATTAATAAAAATCTTATACAAATTCAGATTTGAAACTAATTTAACAATACGTATTTTTAATAAGTAAATAATACATAAAACATGTATGTAATTAGACAACTTTTTATGTTTTTTTGCGACTATTATTCTTTTATAAAGTTTTGTTTCAATTAAAAATTATTTAAGAATAATTGTCGTAAAAACACATAAAAAGCTGTCTGATTACATACATGTTTTATGTATTATTTATGTGCGTATTTATTGGCAATTGTTTTATATGCATATGTACATATATTTTCGTAAATAAAAAATACTTGAATATCAGAAATTTTAAAATTTTTATTGTTGAATCGAATTTTCCGTTATTCAAACCAAACTACATAACGACTTAGGGCCAATCTTTAGGTGAAAGATTAGCGATTTAATTAAAATTAATCCTAGAAAGTTGTTGTTGAGTACTCAATTAGCTAATTTTGTTTGCAAGTTTAAGCGCCCAATGGAAGCGGTTTAAACTTAAGCATGAAATGCAAAAGTATAAACTGCAGATGCAAAAAAAATAATAATACAATTTTTATAAATATAAACATTAAAATGTTCTATTTATTGATTAGTATAAATTGTGGACACTTCAAAATACATTTTTTGTTTTAAACTTAAGTTTTCATTAACTTTCATATTAAATTTACAATAGTCTTCTTTTTATAAAACATGCATTGTTTCGACAACAAAAAGTTACGTTTTCTGTTGTTTTGTATGGACTGCAAATTTTAATCTTGTTTTTGAGTACATGTTTTTGAGTACATCAAAGGGGATTAACATCAGATTCAATTTATGTTTAGATTAACTAATCTGATTATTAATTGGCATTTGATTGCCAACTCAAAAACCCGCTCTTAATGTACCAATTTTGTTTAGTTGTGGGTTCGCAATTGTTTTTTCACACAAACTGGGAAGCAAATTTCTATGTGAAGATCATTAGTTGGCAAAGGAATATCGAACTAGTTAATGGTGTCGTGGGTGTGACGTAGGACTAGGAACTGAGAGGTTTAATTCAAGTCCTGCTTGTTTTGGACTGCTTTTATTTATTTATTTTTTTCTAAAAAAAAAAAACACTTTTTATCTCGCTAATGGGTGGCATATGAAATTGTGGACCAATTTTGATTTTCAACACAGTGTAAAGCTATATGTCTGACAAAATTCAGCGATATTTGTGCCAACTTGTTTATGGATATCATTAGTTGGTAATGGGTAATCTAATTTTAAGTGATTTTAGGAAGAAGTCTTGTATGGGAACTATGACCAAAAATATGTACAGTAACATTTCTCTATACAAAAGCAATATTTCTGCCAACTTTTTTATGTATGTATGTATGTATGTATGTATGTATGTATGTATGTATGTATGTATGTATGTATGTATGTATGTATGTATGTATGTATGTATGTATGTATGTATGTATGTATGTATATCGTTATGTGGTAATGAGTTATGTGCGTTTAAGTGGTTTTCGGAAGAGGACCTTATATGAGAGCTATGACCAATTATGGACCGATTCAGAAAATTGTTTCTTTATATAAATTGTATTGGCATAAAGCTTTGATTTGTGAAACTTTGTAAAGATATCGGCGTTATAACTGATGTTATCAACAATAAATTCATATCCGGGAATATGTACATTTGTATGGGAAGTATATGAAGTAGTGAACCGATTTTTTTCCGATTTTTAATAACGTTGATCATGGTACCAAGAGTTTTATCTTTGACAAAATTCATTCGTAAACAAGTAAGAAAGTATAGTCGGGCGTGGCCGACCATATGATACCCTACACCAGTTATGAATATTAAATGTGATTTATTTTTCATAATAAAGCATTTATCTTCAATATTCCCTTGTTCCGATACATTTAAGCAATTTATGGATGAAAAACTAATTTTCTGAAAGAGGCTTTATATGGGGGCTAGGGGCAAATATGGACCAAGCCCGATCAAATTTTGTGAATATATTTATATTTACATACTATTTTATTGTGCTGAATTTCATCGCGATATTTGTGTTTATAAGTTAATTTGGGACATTCAAGTAATTTTCTGAAGGGGACTTTGTATGGGAGCTAGGGTCAAATGGGGCCCGATCTTTATGAAATCGGGTCATCAAGACTTCTATAAAACTTAGTTGTGCCGTATTTTATCGATATATCTGTACATTTAACATAATTATGTGCTCAGAAGCCCTTTTCGGGGGGTTCTGTTCTATGGGGGCTAGGTGAAATAATGGACCGATTTTAACCATTTTCAATAGGCTTCGTCCTTGGGTGAAATAATAAAAAAAAAAAAATTTCATCCAATTATCTTGAAAATTGCGATCTGTACCTTGCGCACAAGGTTTACATGGACAGCCAGCCAGCCAGCCAGCCAGACGGACGGACGGACGGACATAGCTTAATCGACTCAGAAAACGATTCTAAGCCGATTGGTATACTTTAAGGTGGGTCTAGGACGAATATTTTTGTATGTTACAAACATCAGCACAAATCCAATTACCCTCCCCACTAAAGTGGTGTAGGGTATAAAAATACAAATAAATATGTATGTGAAAAAGCACAATTTTTTTCGAGGTTGTCTCAAATTTTTACTCATAACTCTGAACCTATTTTACCAAACTCGCAGATTTTCAATATCAACCTGCTTAGGATAACAATGAATATTTTGGGTGAATTTCATAAAGTTCCGTTGCTTCGGTTTAACGTGAGCGTGTTTTATGACAGATTGACATAACTAAATCGACTCAGAATTTCATAAGGACCAATAATATACATACATACATATGTATGTACTTTGTTGGGTCTCAGATGAATATTTCTCAGGGCCAATCTTTAGGTGAAAAATTAGCGATTAAATTAAAATTAATCCTCGAAAGTTGTTTTTGACTACTCAATTAGTTAATTTTGCTTGCAAAATTGATAATTAATCTTGTCCAAATTTATTTGACAATGAACTACACGTATCAAATAAAAAATCAGAGGGAATTTTATTGCCCATAAAAAAACAATGAAAACGATTCGACGCTCTTTAATTTTATAAATGAAAAATTATGTAAAAATAAAGAGAAGCTGTATCCAGGAAGGTCGATGGTTCCATATTTACTTTACGCCGATGATTTCGGGATCAATAATCCATTAGGATCAAAGAGTCGAAACCAAAGTATATACAATGTATACTACAGTTTTCCAACATTGAAACCAAAAAATTCGCAGCTAGAACAGGTATTTATACCCTACACCACTATAGTGGGGAGGGTATTATACGTTTGTGCTGATGTTTGTAACGCATAAAAATATTGGTCCTACACACACCATATAAACCCATCTTTAAAAAATATCTTAAACGTCCAAAAATTTACTTATAACCATTAGTATCGCGATGAAATTCAGCATAACTAATCTTTATATAAAATAACATCCCAATTTTTGGAGGATCGGTCCATATTTGACTCTAGCTCCCATATAAAGCCTCTTTTAGTAATGTAGTTTTTCACCAATAAATTGCTTAAATACATCGGAATTAAGGTAAAATTCAACAAATTTTTTATGAAAAATAAATAATTCTTAAAATATACCCATGGTGTAGGGTATCATATAGTCGGCAATGTCCGACTATACTTTCCTACTTGTTTTAGCATATGTTCTAAAATCGAATGATTTAAAACTTGACCCTAACAATTGTTTTGATGACTTAATTAATGTAATTTATGATTTGGAAGTGAATGGAATAGATATTGTAACAAATAATGAAGGGATTAACGCAATTAGAGGTAGATAGTGATGAACAATCCTTGCCAGATATATTGTATGTGTATGCATTTGAAAAAATAACTTTTTAAATGGTTTATAAATAAATACTTATTAAATATATGTAGCTCCAGAAGCATCCTGGAAGGAATCTATTCGTCAAGTTTTAAAATACGATAAATTAAATTTAGAGGAATTTGAAAATTATTGGTTAAAATGTAGCAATCTCAGATTCGAATACCACTATATATACATATATATATATATATATATATATATATATATATATATATATATATATATATATATATATATATATATATTGTTCATTTAATTACCTAAATCTATTATTAATGAAAAATGCATTATTTTAAAACAATTTGTCTTACTTCGTATTATTTATTTAAAAAGGATGGAATTTAATTAATAAAAACCATAATTTCATGAAAAAATTCATAAAATTTATTAAAATATACATTATTTTTATTCATCCAATCTAAGAACATAATTCATGACCTGTATGAAAAACTTAAAAATTAAATCTATGTTCAGTTCTTATTATAAATTAAAAATTCATACACTGAATGAAAACGGTTTGGGAAAAAAGTCAAGTTCGATTCATACATTTTATTACAAAATTCATTCCACTTATGAATTTTTTTCTGTGTACATATCACCACTGAAAAGCAATATTTTCATAAAGCAAAACGCCACAATTATTATAGACACTTGTACATAAAAGGCTTTCCATGAAAGAAATTTACAGAACGTGTTCGTTAATTATAAGATTTGATGCGACACATTTCGAATTAGGAAGATGCCTTATTATGACATGAAGGCAGGGGAAACATTTGAATATGACGCAGATACAGACAAGGTACGTAATCCAGCAAATTATGTAGAAGTTGTGATGGCTCCAGGATTTCAAAAATCGTTGATTTAGTAAATTTTTGATTTCGATTATGACCAGCAAATGAATTGATCATAGAGCTCAAACAAGCAGGTTTTCCGGTAGTAACGGTATTATGCGACATGGGGTCTACGTATGTTGTGGAATGAACTAAGCGTCACCGCAGGTAATTTTTGGAACCAATATAATGAATGAAACTAAGAATTTTTAATATTTATATTATCTTTTTTGCCCAGACGAATCATATTGACATTAATTGTAATTTCTCACGTACAAACACTATTCGGATTTTGTGCCATAATCTCTAATTTGATAATTTAAAATATTAAGGTTAGATTTTAATATTTGATTTTAGATTAGA